GTTACATCAACATTTATTTATCAAATTTCTTTTGTATTTAGTGTAAAGTTGTCATTAATTTTTTTTATTTCTCTAATAAAATTTTTTTCATGCAGTGAAATTTTATGTAATTTAGTGCAAGAAATTTTATTTCAATAATATATCAAAGTAAACCTTAAAATTATGTATGTTATTAGTCATTTAAATGTTTTTTTATAATATAAATATGTATAGAATAGAATGATTCTGTTAGAGGGCTTACATGAAAGTATTATTTTATTTCACTATAATATCAATTTAAACTTTGAAACTGTATAAACTGTTATTAAATCATTTAAATATATTTGTGACGGAAACACTTATAAAATGGAATAGTTCTGCTAGATAACTTAAACGAAAGTTATATTTTATTGCATTAATGTATCAACTTAAATTTTTAAATCGCATAACTATAGATGGGTGGCCTAATGTAAACAATAACTAGCGTCTTTAAACCGGAAGAAATTTAGAAAATTTCCGGTGTATCCCTCCGCTTAGGTTATGACTATGAGGCGATGTGTGAACAAGCCTAATATTCTATGCAGTTTTGTTATTGTAATTTGGGTTCAAATCTAAACATAATTGTACCATTCATAAGCGCTTTCAGAAATGTATTGATTCTCAGAGGTCGTAAAGCCAAAGAAAATTTTTATAAAGTTAATATCTCAGTGAGAATAATTCTTAAGGTTTGTCATGTTTTGTATTTTATCCCTTATTTGGCTACATTTGAATAAAATGTCGCCAAAAATATCTTTAAAAATATCTTTTTAAGTTAGCCTAATTAGAAAATATTCTAATGATTATAATATTAATATGATATTGCTGAAGTTTAAAGGCTGAAAGAAAGAACTCGGTACATGTGAAATACTGCAAAAGATATGCTGCAATAATATGATGCCGCGTTTTTTCCGTCTGCGGCGTAAAAATATATCGGAAGCAGTAACCCGGAAGTCTTGCGAGAGCAATTCAACCACTAGCGCCACCACCCTTAGCTTTACACGATCACCCATCCATATTGAACCATGTAAATATTTTTTGTTACGCAGATACGTTTGAAACTGCGTAATTTTGTTGGGCAGGTTACAAAAAAGTGTTATTTTATTTTAATATTATATTCAAATCATTCAAATCTTAAAAATTGCAAAAACCGTTAGTAAACCATTTAAATATCTTTGTAAGTGCTTATGAAATGGAATAGTTCTATTGAAATGTTAACACTAAAGTGTTATTTTATTTCAATATTACATCATTTTAAATTTGACAATTGTATATTTTATTACTAAGCCATTTAAATATTTGAATGGCTTGATTTTTTAATGTCTTTTATAAGGTTTTTTAAAGTTAAAGTAATTTTTATATTATTAATAAGAATTATTTGGTTAAAATAAATAAAAATAGATGTTTTTTTTAAAGTATGAAAGCAATTAAGTTTATTCACTGGTGTGCAAAACTTAAGCAACAAGTGGTTTTTCGGCCGCAGCTCCCCAACAAAGTATAAGATAGCCATGAAATTGCAGTATAATATGCACGTAATTTAGTAGAAAGATTATTTGTATGCAAATTTTAGAAATAAAACGTCGTAGGTGATGTAAGTGTACGTAAACCTTGTGGGTCGGCGCGCGCAGGTCAAAGCTGTGATAAAA